CTAAAGTGTACATACTCACACTGAAAATTTAACAATGGGCTCTGATTAGAGCTGATGCTAGCACAGTTCTATCGCTGCTCGTTCACAGCTATCCACCATGCACCTCTGTGTGATGTTCATTTTCTATTTTTTTTTTGACACTGGACATACAAATGGCAAAATGGAAACAGTCCCTGCCTTCAAGGAGCTTACATTCTATTAGTGAGGCCAGAACCTAATACCAGAAAATAAAATAATAAAATAAAAATTTAAAAAGTTGTAACAACAGACCCAGTAAGCAAGATTTAGGAACCAAACATTGGACAGGGCTGGACAATATGAGATGTTTTCTTCTCTTAGGTTCTCTGCCTTCTTACTAGAGTTGCCCTTATGAGGTCTAGATATCAGGAATAGGGATGAGGCAGGGCCCTCTTGAAGCTGGAACAGGTGCCTGGAGTTGGGCCAGAAAGCCTGGTGTGGAAAACGGGACCTGTGTCTTGGTCCAGAGTCAGTCTCTGGGTGCACACAGGAGGCACCTGAATACGTGGGCAGAGCAGACGCGGAACAGAGAAAGACCAACTTTGCCCACTTTAGGTTTTGCTTTGGGTTGGCCCCAGTCTTCAATAATTAAATAATAGTATAATATTAAATAATATATTATATATATAGATAATATAGATAATAGATAATAAATAAATTTTAAAAGGGCAGCATTAGGATTGCCTTATGTGCCTCAAGCCATGTCAGCCTGAATCTGTGAGGTGATGACAAGCATCTCCAGCCCAAGTTCATTTCACACAAACTCAAGCATGAGTATGATTACTGACATCATAGGACATCTTAGCAGCAGCTCTCAGGCCAGGAGCCCCAGAGCAAGAGTCCTCAAAAGGGCTAAGACTTCTGGGTATTACATCTTTCAAGTAAATATTAACAGATAGTGTTTAAGCTGCTATTTGTCACTGAGCTTCTGTGCTGCCTTGGGCCCATCCCGTCTACATTCTGAACCTTTTTCACTTCATCTGTAAAGTGGATCACCCCAAGGATTCCAATTAGGTTTGTCTCTTTTCCAATCTGCTCTTCTCCTTGGGGCTGGGAACAGGACATCCGTAGCATGTGGTTCAGAGGAAAGGACTCTTTCCATCCTGGAAGCTGTCAGCAGTTTCTGTGGCAGACCAGACCGACCATTCATAGGCTGCCCTAGAACTGAGGAAAGGTTCAACCCCAAGCCCACAGGGGAAACCAAACCAAGGAATGGAAATGGTCCCATTATAGGGGTGTGCCCTTTCTGAAGCATCTGAAGGGGCAAAGTCCCAGCTAAAATCCCATCTTCTACAAGGAAACTTTCCTCATTCCCCTTAATGCTAGTACCTTCTCTGGCTTGATTATCTATTTATCTTATATATATATCCTTTGTATTGTTTTAATGTTAGAAGTTTAACGAACTTTTAGAGAGCAGGGATGAGGCTTTTGCCTTTCTTTGTAACCCCTGGGCTGAGCACTGTGCCATGTATACAGTAGGCTTTAAATAAATGTGTATGGGACTGACTGAATGAGATTTAAGAAGTACTTTCAGTGATTAAGGAAACCATATGCTCCAGGTCGGAGGCTTGAATAGCTCCAATGAATATGAAAAGGCCTGTGGAGACTGCCACGTGGCCTCAGAGCTAAGACTTCCTCTATCTCTTTGTTCCCAGTAATAATCTACATAAGATGCCCACCCTTCTTTAGGGAATGGTAACTTTCTGGTTCCCCTAACGGTGGGTTCCCAGGGAATCCAGATTCAGAACTGGAGCATCCAGTCTCTCACCTCCTGCCTGGGCCAGGGTGAGCTGTGGGAGAGAGCCCAGAGGACACCCTACCCTAATCTCCCTCCCTGACTCCCGGAAGAATGATTTCCTTTTTAGAACCACCCAGTCCTTGTTCTGGGTCCAGTGCTGCCTTCTTCAAGAAGGAGCCTTGCTATTGCTACATCTGCTTCATGACATTCATTCATTCACTCACTCATTCATTCATTAACAGACATCTGTTAAGTGTGTGCCTGTGTACCAAGCTCTGTCCTGGGTGAAAGACAAAGTTTAGGTCCCCCTGCCTTTCTTAGTCCTCGGGCTTTTCCTGCTCCCTGGGCACAGAGACCTGCCTTCAATATTCTTGATTGCCTGTTCGCCAACTAGAGAGATGTTGCAAGGTCACCTCTAAAATGACAGAAGCAGCTGGTGGCACAGTGGATAGAGAGCTGGGCCTGGAGTCAGGAGGACCTGAGTTCAAATTTGACCTCATTCACTTACTAGCTGTGTGATGCTGGGCAAGTCACTTAACCTCTGTTTGCCTCAGTTTTCTCAAATGTAAAATGGGAATAATAAAAGCATCTCCCTCCCAGGGTAGTTGTGAAATGAAAGAATATTTGTAAAAGTGCCTGGCTTGTAGAAGGCCCCACTACATAAATGTTTATTCCCCTTTCTCCTTCACTTCTAAAATGAGGGAAATGTCCAGCCAAGAGGGCAGGTCTGGGCAACTTGGTAGGTTGTGCTGGTTTTCTGCTACAGGGGGATGGTGAGGGTGGGACCCAATGGTAGACCATTCACACCCAAACCCAGACCTCCTGGGAGACTCTCCCATTTCTTAGGAATGATCTCCATGGAAGTCAGGTAGGTGAGTAGGCTGCTAATCCAAAGCCAAGTGCTTGCAAGGAGCTACAAAGAGTCTGCGCCTGGGGACTTATTTCCCAGGATACTTGTAAGATTCCAATAAAACCTGGTTTCTTCCCAGGGCTAGTCCAAGTTTGAGATGAGAAGGGAGACTAGGACAAAGAAGGAAGGATCTCTCAGAAGCAAGGAGAAATCCATTCTAGGCCTAAATAGGATATATCTTAATTTGTCTTAATGTCTTAATTTTCAAAAGAGGAAAAAAGGAATCCTGAGAATTGAGGGCCTGTAGGTTAAATGGAAGGGGGGGATAGCTGTCTCTTGGGTCAAAAGGGACTGATGTCTGTGAGACAGGCATCTGTGGTGGTAGTGTATCTGTGGAAGTGGAGGTTCTGTATTGGGGGGTCCATATGTGGGGTGTTTCAGGGTTTAGTGATGGTCTGTGATTCTGGTTTCTGGCATGAGGGAGTCTTTGGGTCCCCAAGTTTGAGTTTTTTTCTGGGGAATGTCCCTGGGCTGAGGGTTCTGGGGGAGGGTGTCTTTGGACTGAGTCTCTGAGTTTGGGGAGTGGGAGGGTGTTTCTCAGATGACAAGCCTGGGGAGGGGGGTGCTGTCTTTGGGTTTAGTTGTCAGTATCTGAAAGGTCTATGGGAGAAACTCCTACAGAGTTCATATGAATCTCTGCATTCCATGTGTTTACCTTGGCTGTCCCCCATGCCTGGAGAGTCTTCTCTCCTGGCTGCTGTCTCCTGCCATCCCTCCCCCCTTTTTAATACTGGGCTCAAATCCCACTTTCTGCAGGAGGCATTTCCTGGTCCTTCTGCCACCTCTCACTTCCTCCAATTACCTTTCCCATGTATTCTAAGTATCTATCTTGTACATATAGTTCTTTTCATGTAGTCTCCCCTGTTAGAATGTAAACTCCTCGAGGGCGGGTACTGTTTCTGCCTTTCTTTGTACCTTCAGTCCAATGCCTGGCATATGTGTGCAGCTCTACTGTGAACCCATGACTTTGTCCATGGCATCGTTTGCCATTTCCTTCTGCAGTGTGTCCCTGTTTTACAGATGGGGAACTGAGGCAAACAAGGGTTAAGTGGGGCAGCTGGGTGATTCAGTAGAGTGGCGGCCTTCCTGAGTTCAAATCTGGCTTCAGACACTTATTAGCTGTGTGACTCCGGGCAAATCACTTAACCCTATTGGCCTCAGTTTCATCCGTGAAATGAGCTGGACGAGGAAATGGCAAACCACTCCAGTATCTTTGCCAAGAAAACTCCAAATGGGGTCACGACTGAAAGGGCTGAACGACAACAAAAGGGGTCAAGTGACTTGCTCACGGTCACACAGCTACTAAGTGTTCTTATTTAAACACAGATCTTTCCGTCTCCAGGCCCCGAGATCTATTCACCGCACCACCTAGCTGCCCCTGCCAGGCATACAAGAAACGCTTAATAAATGCTTGCTCAACTAAATAGACGCTTTGCAATGCTTGTGGAGTTGATATGGGAAGGCGCGGGGTGAAGGGGTGGAGGGAATCTCGGAAGTGTATCGTGCAGAGGTGGGCTTCTCGGGATTGAAGGAGACGTGGAGGTGATGTCTGGACTTTGGGGGTCTTGTGGGAGGGTTCCAGCAATAGCTGGTTTCCCCGGGGCGGGGTTGGGCAGGGCAGAACTGGGCAGAACCTGAGCTTCCGAGTCCGCGGCTTCCCAGCGGCGCGCCTCCCGGACAAAGCCTGCGCATTTTCCTGGCGATGATTGGTTGTGGGGGACGTGCTGAACGCCCCCCTCGGACACGCAGGCCGGGGCCGGCGCGCCGTAACCAATAGCAGGGCTCGGCGCCGGCGCTTCTCTGTATCAATCTCGGAACTGCCAGCCAATGGGAGCGCCGCTACCCGGCTCGTGCCCCTTTCGCGGCAAAAAGGATTTGGCGCGTAAAAGTGTCCGGGACTTTGCGGGGATCAGCTGGAGAGACCAAAACAAGCTCCCAGCCCCGGCCCCAGTCCCGGCCCCTGCTCTGTCCTTCAGTCTCCCGCCCCGGCTCCATCCGTCTGTACGGATCCGATCGCTGCTGAACCCCGGAGTCCAGGACCGCGCATGGGCCAGGGCCCTCTAGGAGTCTCCAGCAGCCTGCGCCCCAGCCCCAGTCCGGGGCCCTGAGCCCTCGCCCGACAGGCCGGGTGGAGCCGGGGACTATGGATCTGGGATCTGGAGCAGGCTCTAGTGCCGAGACCCCCGGCAGGGGATAGGGCCCCAAGCGGCGACCGCGGAAGCCCGCCCAGCCTCGGGCCGCGCCCCGCCCCGGCTCTCCCGGCCCCGCCGGCCAGTCCCTGTCCCTGGGATGTGAGCCGGCGCCCGGGGGAGCGAGCGAGCCAGCGGAGCCGCCATGGCCCTGGACGGCAGCGGCGGCGGTGGCGGCACGTGTGTGGCGGAGCTGCAGGCCCTGCTGGGGGCTGGGGGGCTTCAGCTGCTGGAGCAGCAGATCGTCATCATCTCCACCCAGGACGAAGGCTCGCTCAGCGCCGCCGCCGTCCCCGTCACCGCCGAGGGGCCCCGAGAGGCCGAGTTGCTGCTGTTCGCTACGCCCCAGGCGCCCCGGCCTGGAGCCAGCGGACCCAGGCCTGCCCTGGGCCGGCCTCCGGTAACTACTCCACTCCCCGCCCTCTCAGCACCATGGGCGGGCCTCGGCCCCGGGCATCTCTGTGAGCATGCATCTCCAGGGCCCGACCGTAGCGCCAGGGGCTCCGGGCAGCTTTCCAGGGCAGATCCCACGCCCAGGAGGGCGGCTCTGCGGGAGGGGGGTGCGGGGGGGGTCCTAATCGGCTGTACCAGATGGATGGGTTTGCGCCAGAGGGAGCCCCCATGCAGTGCGCCTGCCTCCGGGGTGGAGCCGAGCAGCGGCCGCCGCACGGCGCTGGGGACTCGCTGTACCTTTGCCCTCTCAGAGACCGTGGCCTGGAGCTCGGAGGCCGAGGCTGGAGGGGAGGGGGGCGGCGGTGAGAGCTGGCTGACTGTGGCCTTTCTACTCCCACCGCACGGTGGTCTCTGGCCTTCTCTAGGCACTCCCAACACCCCTTGCTCAGTGGAGAAACCTAGTTCTGCCTGCCAAAGGGCAGCCCGTGGCCTGGGGCAGAGCTGAGATTAAGGATGAACCCTGGGTGACAGTGTTTGAGTCTGTTCAAAGTCCTGTTTTATTAACCACATCACTGGTGGCAGTAAAAGGAGGTGGTGGGTTTGTGTCACCAAGAGTGACTACATGCTATGGGACAGAAGGAGTGCTCTTTGCAAGAGCTGGGGTATGTGTGGGGGGGGGGAGGTGTCATAATCGGTTCAAGAAGAGGGAGAGAAAAGGATGCTGTGGGGTCCTGTGCTTGCAGCTGGCCACTTAGTGCCTCTGTAAAATCTGCTGAGTGCCTCTGGGCACTTGAAAGGTACCCAGGTATAGGTGTCTTTCGCCGCTTTGCTCCCTCTGCCCCCTAAAATGGGCCAGAATTGAAGTGTGCTGTTTGTGTGAGGCCTCTGCAGGGCGGGAATGGGTTCTGCCTCTCCCCCATTGGGGAGTGAGGGTACAGCCTGGAGTGGCAGCTGATCTCCTCCCTCCTACTGCCCCTTCCATCTGTTGGCCCTCTCCACCTGCCTTCATATTTTCAAGGGGCTTGTTGCCATAGTGTCTAAATGCTCAGTGAACTTGTTCAGCTCCCCTAGGCCCCCTGGGGGAGGGGAAGGGAACGGGTGACTGAGCTGGTCCTTGGCCTCTGTGGTGTGGTGTGGTGGCTGGGGGAAGGGCTGAATGAGGCAGGAGGGAGCAGTTGAGCTGCTTGTGACAAGTACTCCCCCACCCTCTGCATCTTGGCTACCCTTCCCCCCCCCCCCCCCCCCCATTTTCTCTCTGAACCTGTAGAACCTAGTTGGGTTCCCTCCGGTTGAGACCTGTTCTAAGCCATTCACCAGGCCCTGGGTTTGGCCTTAGTATCTCTAGTCCTGATAGCACTGAGACCCCTGGAGGTTGGTGGTCCTGGCTAAGAGGGACTGGTGTGGGAAAAGGGGGAGTTAGGAGGGCTGGCCTCTGTACCTGGGACATTGGACTGGACAAATTGAGTTTGGCCTGGGATTCCTAGGACATGTTTTGTGGTCAAGTCAGAGTCCCAGGGCCTTTCCAAGGGACTTCCCCAAGGATGTCTGGGGTGTTGATGAGGCTACTGGATTGTAGAACCCCAAACAGAACCTATCTTAAAAATTTAGAAAGTCTTGGCCCTGGAGAGTGTTAAGAAAAGGGAATTACACAGGTGCACCAATCATGTTGGGAAAACTTCCTGAAATCTAGGACCTTCCTCAGCAGCCGCCCAGTGATTCAGATTGGTTGTAGTATGTGTGTTTGTGTGTGGCGGGCTGGGCTGGGGGAGGGGGGAGGTATGCTAAGGGATGACACTGCATTGGTTGTTTGAATAGAGGTCATGGAAGGTCTGGAAATCAGATGGCGGACGCCTACTGCGGGCTGTGATAAGGTGCCCTGCTAAGTTTGATTTTCTGGGGAGGTCAGGAAGAAGAGATCCCACAAACGATCTGCTGACCTAGCTCATGCCCACCTGAGTGTCTGCCATATGGGTTTCACAGCCTTTCCTGCCTTCCCTTATTGAACTGGAAAATGAACTGCATTCCCAGGGGACAGATAGTGGTGGGGAGTGGCAGAGAGGCATCAGAGTATAGAGGAGAGAGCCCTAGATTTGTGGTTAGGAGCTGAGTTCTAATCTAACTTCTACTGCTTATCTGTGTGACCCTCTTTCAAGCTACTTCTCCAGTCTCCTTAACTGTCACACAGATGCCTTCTCTATATGTACTCTGACGTCACTCCTTTTCTCCCTCCCCTCTGTTTTGGGGGGCCTAGTAAGGGGAGAGTGGGAAGAAGCTAGACCTCCCCGTGCTTACAGCTACTTGGTGGCAGTGCTCAGCCTTTGTATGGGGAGCTGCCTCAACTGTTTGAGGCCACCTCATTTTGGTATCTCCCTGCCTCCAGACTGAGTCTGAGGCTAGGATGGTAAAGAGGGTTGAGAGAAAGAGACTGGAACAGCCCCCTGTAGTTGGAGCTTGGGGTTGATGCTGTCTTGCCCTCCCCTTTTCCTCTGTTCTTGCTGCTTTTAGGACTTTAGTGATAAATTCTGCCATAACTAAACTCTCCTGTGCCATTTTCTGGGTACCCAGGCTCAGGAGCCTTACAGCCCCGAGGCAAAAGAGCCCAGGTTGCCTTGGTGTTAGGGGGTGAGGGGACACACAGTCAGAGAGACTGCTGGGATGAGGGGAGTCTAGAACAAAGGATTAAGGGTGTTCAGGGGAACGAGCCCACCACCCATACTTGATACTATTTATTTTGGGTCCCTAGTTGGTGTGTGAATCAATATCATTCTGGTGTAGCAATACAGATTCTCTCTTGCCCTGCCCTACCCTGCCTCCTCCCATCACCACAGCACAGAAGGAAAACCTGTTCTGTGTCTGTGGGCGAGAAATGTCAGCCCTGGGAGCGTGTGCAGGCATTGGCTTTCTGGCCATAGGTCTCCTCCACACCCTCCATGATGCCTGGCCCTGTCCTGCCATCCCAGATCACAGAATCCCACTGCCCTGTCTTTGGTTGGTGTTATGATTTGGTGTTATCATCATCATCAACAGTAGCTATCATTTCTATAGCTTTTGCAAAGATAACTCCTATTATTTGATATTACCCCCATTTTACAGATGAGGGAACTGAGGCTAAGAAAGATGACTTGCCCATGCCCATTGTCCATACAAAGCAAATAAGGGTCAGAGGCAGGATTCCAATTCAAGTCTTCTTGATCCCATGTCCAGAATGAAATAATATATGTAAAGCAATTTGTAAACCTAAAAACACCATATAAATGTGAGTTATCATTACTACTAGTGGTGTCTCTAGGGAGTGGTTCTGGCTTGCATATATAGGCCCTTGTATATAAAGGACTTAAAGAGGGCCTACAATTGGACTGTGAGTGTGCCAGGAGCAGAGAGACACTTGAAGTCTGGGAGTCCTTGGAATGGTTCTGGAAAGAAGGAAAAGCGGTCAACAAGCAAAATGGGAGGGATCAAGGAAGAACTTCCAGGAGTTGAGATATAGCCTAAGTGGAGAAAACTTGGGCCATAAGTCAGCCTATCTGGTAGAGGGGAGCATGGGGAGATAAGGCTGGATGCTCAAGTTATCGCTAGAGGAGGCAGAGTTCTGAATGCTACACTAAGAAGTTTGGACTTCTTTATCTAGGAGGTAGTGGGAAGCCCATGAAGATTTGTGAGGAGAGGGGTGAGTGGCATGACCAGAACCTGATCTGGCATTCTCTACAGGCAGGGTTGGAGAGGAAAAAACCAGTTAGGAGGCTGTGGTAGTCTGGGTATGAGGTAATAAGGCCCAGAATGGGAGCAGCCTGTTCCACTGTAGGACTTTGGATTTTTAGGAATTTCTTCCTTCAGTTGAGCTGAAATCTGCATGTCTGCCCCCATTACTGGACAATCACTCCTAGTTCTGGCTTCTGAATGCTTTCTAAGGTCGGGGTGCCTTGGACCTTAGAAATATTCCCATTTCACAGATAAAGACTGTGTGACTCAGGGTGGTGGTCCCATGCTCCCGGGCAGATCCCCGCCTGGGGCTATCCAAGCCAGGCCTCAGGAGCAGCTATAACGTTTATTGGACATCCCCAACCCTGTGCTCAGTGTAGAATGAGGTCTGGGTAGCACAGATCCCAGTGTGGTGCCCCTCCTTGTATTGGCCCTGAGGAGAGAGGCACCTGGCCTGCTGTGCTGCCCCTAGAAGGTCATCTGGCCTTTCATAGCACTAAGTGCTATAATTAATGAATGCTTTAGGCATCAGCAGCTGTCAGTGCCATTTAATGGGGCTTGCCACCTCTGCTTCTCCTTCCAGGTGCCTCAGTCACTAAGAGGATCCCTCAGCCTTCTGAGCACATCAGCAGTTTCATGCTCCCAAGGAGCTTAGCCTAGTCTCACAGCCTATCCATCCAGTGCCTGCCACTGGAGGCTTTTGTTATCTTAAGGGAGGCTCACAACACCCCTTTGAGGGAGACAGGATATGGACTCCTATCTGTTTTACAGATGAGGAAACTGAGGCTCAGAGAGTTTATGTGACAGTGAATTAGTAGCAGAGGCATGACTAGACCCCAGATCTGACTCTTCATCTTAGAATAGCAATAAAAAGAAAACTGACTCTGAGGTCAGAGGTCCTGGGTTCAAATTGGTCCTCTGACACTACCTGGGTGACCCGGGCAAGTCAGTTTACCTTTCTGGGCCTCAGTTTCCTCATTTGTAAAATGAAACCAGGGGATTGGGTTAGGTGACCTCCAAGACCTTTTCCTGTCTAGATCCATTATTCTGGGCTGTCTCCTGCCCTGTGCTAGAGCAGTAAGAGTAAGACACAAAGCTATATTGGAAGAAGTACTCAGACTGTCAGGGCTATGGGAGCTCGAAAAGACCTTCCTGAAAAAGCGGCATGTCCAGGCTTCTAAGGCCAAGTATTAAGTAAATGGGGAGGTGTTCTCTGTGACCCTGGGCAAGTCACTTAACTTAGGGGTCTTTGTTTCCTCATCTGTAACAATAGCAACAATAATAATAATAGGAGCGTGTTTATAGAGCACTTTAAGGTTTGCAAAGCGCTTTACGTTTTCTCATTTAATCCTTACAACAGCCCTGTGAGGTAGGTGCTATTATTATCACCCCCATTTTACAGATTAGGAAACTGAGGCCGAGAGGGGTTAAGTGACATGCCTGAGTAGAAAGTGTCTGAGGCAGGATTTGAACTCAGATCTTTCTGACTCCAAGTCTAACAAACTATTCACTGTGTTACCTATCTTCTGCCTCCCCTATGAAATGAGAGAGGCGGACTGGTTGACCTCTAAGGCCCCTTCTGATTTTGAATATGTGGTCCTAGGATTCCTTCGAGGTACCCTCTTGTCATGCCTTATGTAGAGCAGGAGAAATGTCCAGAGGAGAAGTCTTTCATTGTGTAAGTGCCAGCATAGGAACTCAGTGTCCATGTTTGCCCATAGAGGCATTGAAATCTGGTTCCAACCTTGCTGGCTAGAACTCCCCAACAGAATCCAATTTAGGGCAGGATTTCTTACAGATTAGTAAATTAAAGACAAGAAAGGAGAGAAGTGACTTTCCCATGGTCACGTAGTAAATAGCAGAGCTGAGATTTGAACCTGGGACCTTTGTTTCTGTTGTTCTACATTACCAAGAATTATAGACTCTCAGAGCTGGAAGGGACCTCCTTTTACAGATGAGAAAACAGCCTTAGAAAAGGCAAGTGACTTGCCCAAGGTCACAAAGCTCTTCCCCTAGGACTGTCATCTTCCTGCTAAATAAAAACCTTTTTTAGAATATAGGCCTACAAAACCTTCCTGGATGCCCCGCCCCCCCAGGAGCCCCTACACCTCTGTGTCCCACCTGCCACCTCTTTCTGAGGCCAAGGGTGGTCTCTCCCTGTAGGATGTGAGCTACCTGAGGGCAGGGACTGCTGCTTCTTCTTTTTCTTCCGTTTTCTTTCTTTCCTCCTCCCTCTCTTGCAATAGTGCCACTTGCTAAACACCTATTGATTGGGTAGCTTTCCGTGGTCATTCCCTGGCCCCCTCTCTACCTTGTGTCCCAGAACCATCCTCACATTTGGGGGTTGGGGAGTGGGATGGGTGAAGAAACGAGATGGGGCGCAGGCTGCATCTATGTCCATTCCTCTTTTCCAGGGATTCCTGGGTTACCTTAGACTGGTCTGACTGGGCGTGGAATAGATTGGGATCCTGCCGTTCCACCCAGTCCTGGCCCATGTTTGTTCTTAGGGTGTCCCCTGGACTCTTACCACATCACCTAAATTCTTGAGAACAGGGGACCAGGGGAAGAATCTTTGGTTATCCATTAAAGGGAAATGGGCCAGCTTTTTTAGTCCCAATGTCAATGAGGAGAAACTGAGTTGTTTCTTAGGATGGGGAGTCCTATCACCAGCCCTTAAGACGCTGACAGAACAGGTTTCTAGCCCCCTTCCTGGGCCTCCTTGGGTCCCTCATGAGGCCTCTCTTTTCCTCTCCCCTGTGCTGCAGGTGAAAAGGAAACTGGACTTGGAAACAGACCATCAGTACATAGCTGAAGGCAGCCAGCCAGCCCGGGCCAGGCCTAGACCCCCTGGCAAAGGTATGAGCCTTCCTTACCCGAACAGACTCTCCGGCTTAGCTCCCCCTTTCTGGCCCCCTGGTTAGGCTGCTCAGGACACTGGGAAGCCAGTGTCCCCACACTGAACTCAAGCGAACCGGGGCCTCTGGTTTCTTGTCTCTCTTCCCAGTGAATGGGTGCTGTTTGCGGTGGAAAGAGCCCCTCAGTGCCAGGGCCTCTCTCCTAAGCTCTGATTCCCCTTCCCTAGTGGACTGTGATGCTATGAGGAGCCAAAGCTAGACAGAAGGCAGGAGTCTTGAAAACTTGGCTCTTTTCGCTCACCCCCCTCACCCCTAGGTAGACTGGGCTCTGGATCAGGAGAGCCAGGGAGGGTCCCTAGCAAGGGGCAGTCAAAGGAGCCTGGCACTAGTTACCTGGCCTAAGGATCTGAGCCCTAGGGGAAGCAGACAGGGTTACCCAGCCCAGGGAGGAAGTTCTGTGGTTAGTGCAGAGCTGGGGTAGGGTGTGTCAACACAGGGGGCTTTTCTGCCTGGGTGACGCCCTGTGAACAGAGGAGAAGAATGTGTATGAGCCCTTGAAGTGGGACAAAGTCCTTTCCTGCCCTCTGGATCCTGGTCTTGGCAGCTTTCCAGCCCTGCAGACCCAGGAGATCATATCTGGGGGAGCTTCCCTGCCCCTGCTGTTGCCCAAGGGTGGGGCATCCTGGGAGGATGTGGGCACTGAGCCTGGGCCCTTGGTCCCTGCCAACAGGTGTGAAGTCCCCAGGGGAGAAGTCTCGCTATGAGACCTCACTGAACTTGACCACCAAACGCTTCCTGGAGTTGCTGAACCAGTCTACAGATGGTGTGGTGGACCTGAACTGGGCAGCGGAGGTGCTGAAGGTGCAGAAACGGCGCATCTATGACATCACCAATGTGCTCGAAGGCATCCAGCTTATCACCAAGAAGTCCAAGAACCACATCCAGTGGCTGTAGGTGCCAAGGTCCCAGGAAGGGCTGGGTGGGGTGTTCTCCTGCCATCCCTCCACCCCCCAGCACAGCTATGTCTGGGTCCCACTGCCTTGCCCAGACCATGGACTTGATTAGGGAAGGATAGAGGGGTGGAAAGACCTAGGGCTGTTTTTCTTGATAGTTTCCAGGTCCCTACCCTGACTAGGGGAGAGGTTGCCGGGGATGATTAGAGAGCTATGCGCTTGGGCAGCTAGATAGAGCACTGGGCATGAAGTCAGGAAGACCTGAGTTCAAATCTGGCCTCAGACACTTACTAACTGTGTGACTCAGGGCAAGTCACTTAACCTCTGTTTGACTCAGTTTCCTCAACTGTAAAATAGGGAAACTAATAGTACCTACCTCTCATAGCTTTGAGGATCAAGTGAAGTTATGTTTGTAGAGTACTTAGCACAGTGCCTGACACATAATAAGTGCTATATAAATGTTACCTTATTATTATTATGGTGATCAAGACAGTGGTGGAAGACAGGGATACTGGCTATGTGGAGATAGAGTGACAAAAACAGAAATTCAGAGTAGGAAGGGACCTTAGAAATTAAAGTCTGATTCCCTCATTTTATAGATAGGAAACTGAGGTCCAGAAAGGGAAAGTGACTTCGTTGAGGTCACACATTGAGTCCCTGGCAGGGCAGGGACTAAGAGTTAGATGTCTCGATGCCCAGCCCAGTGTTTCCTGCTGTAGCATTTAATAAGAGCAATGGGGAGGCCAGAGAAAGGGTCAGACGGGCAGCACTTCACTTAAGAGAAGGGGCAAGGCAGCTGGCCAGACAACAGGGCATAGGGGAGAATGACAGAGCAAAAGGGCTTTGTGTCTGAGGGGTACCCGCCGGGGGACTCCTCAGCAGGCAGAAAGAGCAGTTGTGGCCAGACTCTTGCACCTTGCCTGGGTCTGGCTTCCTGGGAGTTGAGGGGAAGTGAGGATCTTGGCACACGCTTTCTCTCCCTTGTGGATTCTAAGAAAGGACTGCAATTCCAGGGGTGGCATGTGGGTGAGGCCAGCCCAGCTTTGCTGCTGCTACCCCCTCCCATCTCAGCCACCTGCTTATCTCAGTGACCTTAAGAAACCCACACTGGGTGAAGGCGGTAATGGGAGCCCTTCTGGACAGCTGGTTGTTGGGACCTGGGAGGTTTTGGGAGAATTGAGACAGTCCCGTGAGCCTAAGAAACCCCAAGATGGTCGTCCCTTCTGCCCTCCCCCACTCCCCCTTCAAGCCTAGGACCAGAATAGCTAGCTGCTCCCAGAAAGAGAGGGGAGCAAGGGGAAGCCCCTCTCACAGATCTGCCTTCCCTTCCTCCCTGCTCTGCTTCCAGGGGGAACCATTCCATAGCCGTTAACACCAGCAAGCACCAGATGCTGGCCAAGGACTTGCATCATCTCCAGGAGGCTGAGAGGCAGCTGGATGACCTGATCCAGATGTGCACTGTTCAGCTCAAACTGCTCACTGAAGATGCCGACAATCAGCAATATCCTTGTGGGGAAGCATGCCGGCAGTGGGAGTCGAGTCATAGTGACTCATGGTGTGGTTTTTGATTCCTCATACTCAGAATCAGAGGCTCCAGTTCTGGAAGGGACCTCCCTAGACATCATCTGGCATCCTTAGACATCAGGCCCTGCCTGAGAGGTGACCCCCACATGCAGCATCCTTGAAGTCTGCTTCTGCATCCCCAGCATTGATGAGGAGCTTAGCATCCCCTGGCAGCTCCTTCCGTAGCTGGATAGCTCTCGTTACTTCCTGACCGTGACCTCAGATCTTCCCTGGAGTCTCCAACCATTAGTCATACTTCTGCCTTCTGGAAAGTCTTGGCTACCAGATACTATCTTCAGATATTTGAAGGGAGCTATTCTATTACCAGGACAGCTAGGTAGTGAAGTGGATAGTACTGGGCCTGTAGTCAGCAAGACTCATCTCCCTGAGTTCAAATCTGGCTTCAGACACTCACTAGCTGTGGGACCCTGGGCAAGTCACTTAACCCTGTTTGCCTCAGTTTCCTCATCTGTCAAATGAGCTAAAGAAGGAAATGGCAAACCACTCTAGTATCTTTGCCAAGAAAACCCCAAAAGGGGTCAAGAAGAGTTGGACACGAATGAAACAATTAACAATTGACCTCTACCCACCCCCATCCCTCAAAGTGTGATTTCTTCTACACTAAATATCCCTAGTTCTTCAACTGATCCTCCTAGAGCCTGGCCTCCATTCTTCTTCTCCTCCTGGTCCCCATTATCTAGCTTGTCAAAATTCCTCCTAAATACGGTTCCCAGAACTGACCATGACTATCTAGGTCTTGCCTGACTTGGGAAGCCTCAGTGTAGTAGGACTCATCTCCCACATTCTGGAAACCATGTCCATAGCCTAAAATAAGTTGCATTAGATTTTGGTTTGGCCTCTCCATCATATCCAGTGCTTTTAGTCCTCAAGGCCTTCCTCTCCGACAAACTTCTGTTTTGTTGTGCTTCTCCCATCCCGTACTTGGGTAATCACCCATGTACAGGATTATAATCGTTACTATTCACTTCCATTTTATTCTGCTCATTCCATTGCCATGACTTGTTGAGATCCTTTTGGATTCTCATGTCATTCAGATTTTTAACTCTTTTTACATAGCAACATGTCTTCCTCAAATCTGTGACATGTAACATCATCATCCAAGTCGCTGTTGAACGGAAGAGGCCCATGGACAGACATATCCCCTCTCCCTAGTTTATGTTTGGTTAGCCAGCCACTTCCTAACCTACTTATTGTCACATGGCTCCTATCTCCATCTTGTCCACAAGAATTTTATGAGGAAACTTTGTCAAGTGCTTTACTAAAATGAGATCTATTATATGTTCTCCTGAGCTACTCATTAAGTGCTCCAACTTCTGGTATTTTATTGGAGTCTTAGAGCTTCCTTGTGAGGAAGCTAGGACAGGAGTTAGGACCGCCATTTTACAGAAGAGAAGGAAGCTCATGGGGGTTCTGTGATGCTTCTGAGGTCGCATGGCTAGTGAGTATTAGAGCCAAGAGTAGAACCTGCATCTCTTAGCTCTCCATCTAGGGCCTTTTAGACTGCACTGGCTTGTGCTTGGTTGAGAGGGTACAGAATGGAGAAGCTAGGGTCATGGCTAGATCATTCCTTCTGGAGGGCCCCTCCAGAGGGGCAGGAGAGTCACCTGGGAGGGAGTTTTCTGTGCTTGAAGTGGGGTGTGGTTGACACCATGGTATCATGATCCTTGACCTTCAAGTGCACCTTAGCCTATGTGACCTGCCAAGACCTACGCAGTATAGCAGACCCTGCAGAGCAGATGGTAATGGTGATTAAGGCCCCGCCAGAGACACAGCTGCAGGCGGCAGACCCAGCAGAGGTAATCCTGACCCTTCACCCCCAATCTGATGAGACTCATTGAGTACCCCTCCCTTCAGGTGGGTACCTAGCCTGAAGGCCTCCACATCTAGCCAACAGCGCCAAAATCAGGCTGCTCTATTAGTCTCTCTGATGTGGGGAGGACGGTGGGCTTGGAGGCTAAGTAGGACTTAGAAGGGAAGGGATTTTGCAGTTCATATGTGTCATACTTCTACCACTGGGTAATCTCCACTCTTTTTTCCCCCAGTAGATGGTAATTTATTTTTTTTCTAATTATATGTAAAAATAATTTTTAACATTCATTTTTTATATAAAATTTTGAGTTCCAAATTTTCTCCCTCTCCCCTCCCTAAGGTGGTAAGCAATTTGATATAGGTTATATATGTGCAATCATGTAAAATGTAACCATATTAGTCAGGTTGTGAAAGATAATTTTCACTTTCAAACCAGGAGTGGGGAACCTGAAGCCTCGAAGTCACATGTGGCCTTCTAGGTCCTTTGGTGTGGTGGACTGAATCCAAACTTCACAGAGCAAATCCCCTTAATAAAAGGATTTGTTCTATAAAACTTGGACTCAGTCAAAAGGCCCCAGTTTCCCTATCCGTGTGCTTGACTTCTTACCTCCTAGCCCTGGTCAGGGAGGGAGGATGTGGCCAGGGTGCAGAAGGACCCAATGATCCAGCAAAGATCAGACCTGGTCAGCCTGCGGCTTTCTTCCTAAGTCATTGCAGCCTCCGCCTCAGGGTGGGCACCAGCGGCCGTGAGAGGGCTCCAAGCAGTCTCTCACACCCATTTGGCCAAAGTGTTTCTCAGAATCACCCTCTCTGCTTCTTCCTTCCCATCTCTACCTCTGGCTCTGTTTGGGGCTGTTCTGCTCCTGTGGAACCAGCACAGGTACAAGCGACTGTTCTCTGGGCCTCTAACGGCCCATCCTCCCCATCTACCCCCAGGCGTACCAGATCTCTCTGAAAAGCAGCCGAGGGCCCATCGATGTGTTCCTGTGCCCTGAGGAAAGCGCTGATGTGTGCAGTCCGGTGAAGAGTCCCTGTAAAGTGCCTCCTGAGGAGACTGGCCTCAGTCTGGAGCCCACCCCTCCAGCACAGCCGCCACCACCCCCTGCCAGCCCCCTCATAACCTCAGCACAGGAAGGCACCTTGCCCCTGCTTGCCAGTGAGCAAGGTGCGTGGGGCAGAGAATTGAGGGGGCCTTTAGGATGTGTTGGCATGGGGGAGGGGAACAGAATACAGACCCTACTTCCCCACCCTCTGGGTTTCCTCATCCTCCCCTTTCTGCTGGGTAAGTAGCTTCAGACCGGTATCTAGCCTGAAGGCCTCAACATCTAGCCAACAGCACCAAGATCAGGGCTTTTATTATTTTTATTAGTCCCTCTGATGTGGGGAGGACGGTGGGCTTGGAGGCTAAGTAGAACTTAGAAGGGAAGGGATCTTGCCGTTCATGTGTGTCATGCTTCTCTGAGTCAGGCCAGGGCTGCCCCCCTGAACCGGGGTAGAGGGGGAAAGCGGCATCCTTGCCTCATCTCCTCCCTGCCCCCACAGCAGACATCCTATAATATGGGCCCTGCTTCTCTGTTTCCAGAACACCTCCTGTCCCGGGCAAGCCCAGCATCCCTCAGAGCCTCAGCAGAAGATGTACGCCTGTCCCCACTAGTGTCTGTGGACAGCCTCCTGGAGCAGGTGAAGGAGGATTTCTCCAGTCTCCTGCCAGATGAGTTCATCAGCCTCTCCCCTCCTCAGGGCCAGGACTATCACTTTGGCCTGGAGGAAGGAGAGGGCATCAGGGAACTCTTTGACTGTGACTTTGGGGACTTTACCCCCCTGGATTTCTGACACAAAGCAACAGGAAGCTCCCCAGGCCCAAGAATAGGTCAAGGGGCTCAGAGTGTAGAGGGAGACATCACAGTGACAGGGAGGATGACTGGAGTCATCTGAAAAGGGTCAGAATCCTGGTGAGGCTTGGCTGCCAGATGGGTGTCCTTGTGTATGGAGGGAAGCATGTGAGGCAGTCAGGCTGGGATCCCTTAACTAGGCCATTACTGAGGCCATTATCAGCTTTCCCTTCCTACATGCTTGGAGATCCTCAAAGCTGCTGTAACCCCAGGCCCATCTCCCTCTCCCCCACCTCATCCTTTCTATGACTTCCCAGGAGGGGATCCAGAGATCCCTGCCAGGCAGTCTACCCCAATGATCTCATTTTGTCACAAAAGCCACCTAATTTATTTCCCCTTTCTCTGGTCCCCTCTCCCCCCCTACCCATGCCTGGTCTCCTCCATGGGCTGGAGTTCTCCCCTCTAGGGAGTCAGAGGACCCAGTGAATGCCCTGGGAGGGAACAAGCCAGCAGTGGGTGTGGGTGCTTGTGTGTGATGGGAGCGTTAAGTGCACTTTTGCTCATCTTCTCTATATATAGGTCTTAGAGACCACTGGTCCTTCCCAGGACCCAAGTCCTAGACCCCTCCTCAGAGCCTTGCCTGTGCTCAGAGGTCAGGGGGTGAGGGCTTGTGTGGCCTCCTCCCAGGAGTCCTTCCCCCAACCAACCAGCCAGCTGGTGCAGGGTAGAAGGCTGCCGCGCCTTTCTGGGGGCCCAGGCTGCATGGAGAGAGCACTTTTGTCGTCTTAAAAGGTTATTTGTTGCAAAGCTTTACTAAAACGCAGTGTGTGCAAACTTATTTATTTATTGAAGTTGGCCATGGCCGGCCCCCACTTCCCAGGTGGAATGGGAGCTGGGGAACCAGCATCGCTGGGGGGGGCAGAGGCCCACATGGCTCATGCGTGTCCATTTGGGCCCAAAGGAAGAGGTAGAGGGACGGCCAGTCAGGAAGGAAGAGGGGCCAGGCTAGGTCCAAAAGGGGTTCATCCCTTTACCCTTGGTCACCTGGGTAGAAATATTTCAAAGTCTGATTTTATTTATTTATAAATAAAGGAAGGAAAGAGTTATAGGCCAGGAGCAAAGAGAGACTATAGGAGAAGTAGTATAGGTCAGTGAAAGGAGGAGGACAGAGGGAATTGGCTGCACTGAGAAACTGGTCAGCTTTCTAAGGCAGGATCGGGAGCTGCAGCTGGAGGCTGGGCTGTTGGGGCCTGGGTACAATGGGGAAGTCAGCGTGGGCCCCAGGGTTAGAGCAGAGGTTGTCAAAGTTTGGTGGAGGAAGCAGTGACACAGTAAGAGAAGCCTGTGTTCGTAGACAGGAGAGTCAAAGAAGTGACTCTTCTGGGGTGGGATAGAGGGATCTTGCTCTCTTGTCCCACCCCTACCATGTGATGTTGAGAGTTAAGTTAGCACGGGCCTAAAGCAGTCTCAGGTCCATACTCTGCTTCTGGCCTAAAGCCTGACTTGGGCTATTTTTTTTTTTTTTTTTGGAGGGAGGGCTGGAGAGAGAGAAGGAGGTATAGTCTCTGTCCCCAAGTTCTCTGCTGCCTCTGCCCTGGACTGGTGTGTACCAGCCTCTGAGGATGCAGCCCCCATCACTGAGGCCTAACCAAACTCCTCTGTGGGGTTCAGGGCACAGTCTTCCCTCTCCTCCCCTTACCTTCCCATATTCCCCATCACCATTTGGTTGGTGGGAGGGGAAAGGACCCTGTCTGGGTTGACCAGGGCCTGCTTGGGGTGGGGTTCTCTTTAGGCAGGGCAAGAAAGAGGAGATAATGGAGAAGGAGGAGTCAGACTATCTAAAACAAAAGGAGGAAGTTTCAGGGGCAGATCCTTGCTTGCCTACCTCTTGCCAGTCCTCTCAGCTCCCTATTCAACTGGAGGAGGCTTAGGTTTAGGGTCTGTGGGGGCAGGGGCAGCACATTTGGTGCCAGCTTTTTGTCTTTGGGGGGGTGGGCCAGCTGCTTATAGGACCCAGTCCTCTTCCCAGCCACAGATTTGCCTTTCAGACTCATTATCTTATTGTGCTTTGGTTTCAATAAATATTTTGATGATGTTTGGGCTGTTCTGGGTAAGCTTTGTTTTTCAGGATGGGGAGGGGAGTCTGGATAGTTGTCCAGCACCACTTCTCCAGAGCTAGGGAAAGAGCAGTGGAGGTCACTGCAGAATCCCCCTCCCCCTTTAGGGGTTAGCCCCTAGCCATGCCCCTGTCTTCTCTTAGGGAGCTGCTCTGGTAGTGTGGTTACTGAACGACCAGCTTCTAGGCTCTGGAATGCCTTGGACCTTGTATGATAAGCCCCACCCACCCAGGATGTTCTTCAGGGACCCAGGTCGGCTAGGCTTCCAAGTCACCACCTGGGGCGGGCTTTTGCATTATACCCATCTTTGCAAGCGTACATACATACTTCCTTGCATACACACATTATATCAGTTGACAAGTAATTGTTTAGTACCTACAACAGCCAGGTGCTTGTAGTCCAAGGATAAAGAATGAAACAATCCCTACCCTCAAGGAGCTTACATTCTAATGGAGGAGACAAATACATGCAAATATATACACAGCATAAATACGAAATTAAGAAACATAAACATATAGTTAGAGACAAGCTAGTTTGGGAAGGAGGGCACCTGCAGTTAGGGGGAACCCAGAAAGGCTTCATGCAGAAGATGATTCTTGAGCTGCATCTTAAAGGAAAAGGGGCTTTGAGGGGGAGGGAGGGAAGGTATGGGGGATGGCCTAGGCAAAGACATGGAAATTAGAGATGGACTGTCAGGGCTGAAGGACAGAGAGAAAGCCAATTTGACTGGTTCTTAAAAAACAACAACAAAAAAAAAAACAGCAAATGTCCAATGAGGCTGCAATGAAAGATTGGGGTCAAGTTGTACAGGGCTTTGAAAGCTAAACAGAGGAGTTTAGATTTTATCTTAAAAGCAATAGGAAGTCACTGGAGTTGGTTGATAGGGAATCCATGGCCAAAACTTCACTTAAGGAAAATTACTTTGGTTTGGGAGCAATTTGAGGCACAGAGATTAAAATGACTTGACCAGGGTCATACATGCTGCCCCAGTGTCAGACAGGATTTGGATAATTCCAGACTACAAACCCCAAACTATCATTATATGAGGCTGTTACTATACATATATAAATGGAACTTTAAATGCCTTCTGTGTTCAGTGCTCTGCCTATTACACTGGGGGGAAATACAAAGTCTAGTTAAGTCTTAGGTCTTGTGGAGCTTAAACTAGTGGATGCATTAGGCACAGAGCCATAATACATAAAGGAACTTTTGCAGGAAGAGATCGCTTTTGAGTTGGATTTTAAAGCATAGGTAGGATTTCAATGCAACTGTCCTGGGTTCTGGGGAGAAAGGAGGGTTTGGACTTAAATCTTTAATGAGATAGGACATAGGATGTCCTCAGAAATTGGGAGCAGCACCCTGGCAGCCCTTCCCCCATCCCCTTATTAGGACCAAGGACTCAAAGCATAATCATACTGGTGATAGAAAAGGTGACCTTCCCCTAACATCCCTCGAGATTTAGTCACTGTATGCTATGTAGTGATGGAGAAGGCTGGATGGGGAGTTCCTGAATCCTCCATTGTCTGTTCCAGAATTTCTATACCTCTGAAGCCAGGCTGGGGGGCGGGGGACGAGAAAGGGGAGAGAGAGAGGGAAGGAGAGGGAGAGAGGTGGGTGAATGAGAAAAGGGGCAGGGCTGACTCAGAATCACAGAATTTCAGAGTTGGAAGAGACCTTTAAGGCCATTTAGTCCATCCCACACCAGAGCAAGCCCACATGCCCTTTAAGACATGCCAACAAATGGTCAACCTGCCCCGCCTTGGAGCCCTCCAGTAAAGAGAGAAAGTCCTAACTCTTGGGGCAGCACTTTGCATTTTGGGGCAGTTCTAGCTAGGAGGTTTTTCTTAACATCAGGCTTCAATTTGCCTCTGCAGTACTCCTCTCCCCCCCTCCCCCAACACACACATGTTGTTCCTAGTTTTCCCTGGGGCCAAACAAATCAAATCCAATCTCTTCTAAGGGCCAGCCTTTCAAATTTTGAAAGGTAATGACATTATCCTGGACAATCCTCAGGTCCTCTTGTGACATGAACTTGAAACCCTTCACTATCCCCATGCCTTGGAACTCATCAGTGTCCTTCCTAAGTTTGTCACCTGGGCCAGAGCTGAACACAATGCCCCAGATGTGGTCTAAATCATCATTTTTCAGATTTGGGAGGGATCTTAGAGGCCATCTAGCCCAACCTGCACCTGAACAAGAATGCTAACTGCAGCACATGACCAAATGGTCATCCAGCCTTTGCTGGAAAATCTCCAGTAAAGGGGTGCTCACCACTTCTAGAGGCAGCTCATTCTACTTTGGGATAGGTCTAATAGTCAGACACTTACTAGCTGTGTGACCCCAATTAATCCTGTTTGCCTTAATTTCCTTATCTGTAAAATGAACTGGAGAAGGAAATGGCAAACTATTCCAGTATCTTTGCCAAGAAAACCCCAAATGGGGTCACAGAGAGTCAGACACAACTGAAACGACTGAACAATAGGAAGTTAGGAAGATTCTTGACATCAAGCCTAAATTTGGCTCTTTAAAACATCCACTTCTTGCTCTTAGTTCTGTCCCCAGAGATCAAACAGAACAAGTCTGATCCCTCTTCCAGTATAACCAGGACAGATGGGGTTGGGGAGTGGGGCATCACTTATTCCTCTGCCTTGAAAATTTGAAAATGTCCCTTGAAATTTGATTTTCTTGGGGGCCATATGACATGGTTGACTTGTACTGAGCTTGTGGTCTACTAAAAACCCCAGATCTTTTTCAGACCATCTGCTATTTAGGCATCCTCCCTCTCCCACATTATCCTCCTGAAGGTGATTCCACAGTTGGCATTGGTCATTCCTGTTTGGGATAGGCAGGAGGAGTAGGGAGATATCCTGACTGTCTTATTCTTGATCCAAGGACTTCTTTGAGATGGAGCCTTTGCCTTGCTTAACCTCTCCTTCCTTCAGAGTTGAGCTTTGCTTGCTCACCCAGCAACTGTGTTGATGACTTGGTCACTGGCCCAATAGAGATGTAGCTGTAGCCCTCCCTCTTCTCCATCAGTTTGGGGCAGATTCTCAGCTTCATAGTGAAAAAGGGAACCAGCCGGTGCAGCAGGCAGAAGGGAAAGGGATGGATTTAGTGGACCCAGAGCCTGTTGTGTCTTCTGGTCCTGGCCTAGACCCAGCTAGGCTCTCCCCCGTTTCTCTAGTGCTTTTCCCAGACCAGGAGGTGCAACCTGATGTCCCTGGTCCCTTCCACAAACCGGCTGTACTCTCCTGCTTCTCTCTGGACAAGGCTGCAGCCTTCCTTCATCCTTAGGACTGAACTATCCCCTGGACTGACCCCCAGGGCTAGGCCTGAGAGAGAGGGGCTGCAGCTGCTCAGGCCGGGACCACGGCATCTTGGGGCTCTCAGGAGCCGTTGCTTCCTGCAAGAAAGGAGAGAATTAGTAGTCACCAGACACTAGAAAATGTTTCCTCCCCTCCCCCTCTGTGGAGTTGGGAAGGCATTTAGAGATCATTTTAGCCCAGCCTCTTCCGCTCTTGCCTCTCTTCTACTCCCCACCCCCATCAGTGGCAGAGCTAGGACTCGAACTCGTCTCCAAGACCTCAGTCAGGAAGACAGGATAGGGGTAGCTAGGTCAGACAGGTGATGGGAGCTCCTGAATTCGGCCGCAGAACATCCCCTTTCTCTGTGCCAGTCCTCACAGGGACCTCGAACTGTCTGGCTGCACCTTAGTTTCCTGGCAAGAGAAATGGGCCTAGACCCGGGATTCCAGCCCCGAAGGTTTTCCCTTCGCTCCCTAAATCTGGGCTCTGAGGTGGGGGCGGGGCCGGAGCTGCTAATCACAGCCGGTGACCAATCCTCCTGACAGGAGGCGGGGGCTCTAGGTTGCCAATCACCTCCACTGACCAATCATTCGGGCCAGAGGCGGGAGCCCAGCTCCCCCCTCCAGGCCCAACTTCGAGGGATCGGTGTTCAGTGCTCCAGCCCAGTGGACACCCTGGACGCTCCTATCCCGGACTTGGACTCCCCCGGGCCCTGCTGCGCTTTCTACTGTCCCGGACCCTGGCCCCGAGGAGCTGCTGCGGAGCGTTCACCTCTGCATCAGCCTCAGCCTCCACCTGTCCCTGCCCCCTGTCCCTGACTCCCTCCCTCCCGTGCTGCCCACGCCCCCGGCCGGTCTCTTCCTAGACCCCTGCCCCAGCCCCTGCCCTTCCTCCTGCCCTTACCCTTGCCCCTGCCGCCTCCCTCTCCCCTGCCTCCGCAGGCCCAAGCGCGCTCCCTCCACATTTGGGGGGAATCTCTAAGGATGTCGTGCACGGAGCTGCTGACCATGTGCCTGCTTCGGCCCAAGGCTGCCGCCCGTGAGGCCCCTGCAGCACCCCCTGCGGTCCCTCCTGCGGCCTTCGCTGGCCTCGGACTCTTCCAGGACGTGAGTGACCCCCTGGGCGGGGAGGGGAGAGGCGGCTGAGAACTGTGGGTTGAGGGTCGCAGAACTGGGGGGGGGGCAGGGAGGGAGTAGCTGTAGGCGGGGCGTGGGGGTGGACTCCGTAGGGAGCCACTAGGGGTAGGGTAAAGGCCTGAAACTTACAACAGAGGAAGGGCTGTGGAGGGCCGAACTCAGCAAGGTTAGCGGGGCTGGGCAGAAGAGCGGGGCACTGAAGGTAGGAGCTGTCCACAGCTGTCCACAGCCTTGCCCCGGCTGTCGGCCTCCAACCAAATCATTGGGCAGCTAGCTGCTCAAGAGGCTCCTAGATGTGGATGAGCTCCGGGAGAGGGAGGTGGATGCAGAAGTGCCCGTGGCTTGTACTCTGGCGTCATTGTCCCATACCTGGTGCCCAGTCAATGAAGGTGGAGGGGGCTCTGGAAACTTGAGGCTCCTGTCCCTATTTTCTGCTTTAGTGGGAGCAGCGGTGGCTTCATCCAGTCTTAGGGTGCACTCTTCCTGGATAGCCTATCTTCTTGCTGTCCTGTTCCCCTCCCCCACTCCTATTGCTTGCCCACTGTGCCCACCTGTACATTGTGAGGAGCTTGTGGTTGGCTGGAGCCCTGCGCAGGAACCTTCCTTCTCCACCTTCACCTTTGTCATCACCACCTAGTCACCTCTTTCTCTAAGCCTGCCAAGAACTCGAGTTTTAGGAGAGGGAGACCCCATGCTCCACAGGTCATGTCCTTTGATCTTTCCCCAAGTATCCCTCCCCCCATTCTTTCCTTAACCCCTACTCTAGCTTTAAAGGCTCTGACTACTGAGTCAATTTCCTCTTTTCCCATGAGTCAGCATCTCTGATGCAGACTGCACTGACCATTCCCAGGAGAGAGGGGAGTATGATTCTCTCCCCCACTTTCTCCTTCAAGCAGGAAAGTAGCTCTGGTTCCCATGTTGGGAGAGAGGGCTACTCTGTGACCCTGAGCTGGTGGCTCAACTTCTCTGAACATGACTTTCTGTGGAGGTGATTGTCCTCCACTATCCTGGTCCCCAGTATCTCTACCTGGAGCAATAGGAACCTTTAATGGATCTTTGTGGCAATGAGGAGTCACTGCCTGAGCCAGTAACCCAGGTTGCCAAGAGGCCAGGGGAGTAAGGTCTGGGTCTGGGGGCCCACAGCAGGAGAGAGCCAGCAACAAAGGCCTAACCCAGAGGTCTGTGCATACCACCTACACCCACCTATACCCACATTCTAGTGTTTCTGCCCCTCTTCTCCTTTGAGCAGCTCCCATGTACAGATGAAGAAATTGAAGCACCCAAAGGGAAGGATGCATGTGTGGAGTGGGGCAGGAAAGGATAGGATCCTCAAGTCCCCTATCTTCCCCCTCTGCTCTGGCTTAGTAGGGAGCTCTTGGGCATTCTTTCCCTTCTGTGTCCTTACTGGGGCAGTGCCAGCATACTGCTGCATTGGGTAGAGAGCATTGTTTGCCCCCAACCCATGCATGCTCTGACCTCTGCCCCACCATATTCTGCTTTTTGCTCCTTCTCTTCTAAAGGTTGCACCTTCTCCTCTCGGATTGGCCCAGAGCTTCCAGGGAGAAAGAGGAATAGAGATTTTGATGGAAAAGCAGAGGGGAAGAAAGTTCAGAGCTCTTTCCAGTCTCCTGTCTGAGGGGAAGCTCTTGCTGAGTTCCCAGGAGGGGGCTGGGGACAGGCCAGGGAGGAAGAAAGGGCACCAGCAGGAGGTCCCTTGCTGCAAATAGCATCAGGAGTCTGAGGTTGGGAGTAGTTGGGGGAGAGATGCGTTCTGTATCCACCCATGTCATTTGGAATCATTCTCTGATATTCTGATTTTCTAGGGTCTGCAACAGGAATGAGAGTAGGGCCAGAGCCTGGGTCAGCAAAAACATACCATGATCTATGAACTGGTCATATATTTTGCCCCTTTCAAAGCCCTTCTGTAGAGGTGTTCCCTCTCCTCAGGAAAATCAGCAGCAGTCCCTGGGGAAGCCCAGCAAAGCACCAGTAGGACCCTTGAATCTGAACTCCCCTCCTCTTGAGGATGAGAGGCTGCCTACTTTTAGTCCTGTGTCCTAAGCACAGGCATGGGTCATTATGGAGAAGAGGACAAGCCTGGGTCATTGCTCTGGGGGAAGGGAGAGGTCTGAGTCACTGGTGGCACGGAATGGTCTATGTTCTGTAGAGTGTGTGACAGTCCTTTGGACTGGGAGTTCAGAAGGAGGCAGATAAAGGTAGTTAGCTGATGGGGATGAGGTGACAGTTTAGGGGAATAAGGGCTATTCTAGCTTATTTATTCAGGCACAAGAGAGATCTATTAGTTCAGGGGAAGGATGTTAAACTTCCCTGCACCCCCACCCCTCCACCAACTCTAGATTAAGAGGATTGGGGAGTAAAGCATTAGTATGGGAGGGTCATTTGAGTTGTCTATGTCTAATGTGGGGAGGTAACCCATCAGCCAGGTGCCCAGGCCCCTCTAGTATTACAGAGTCTCTGAGATCCAAGGAGATCCTCCTTTCCCCAGCACTGAATAGAACTTGACAGCACCCTGCTGGGCTTTGAGACCCAGATGTGGTCTGGGAGGGGTATGGCCCGCAGGATGTAAATACATGCTTGATTTAGGATCATAGCTTTAGAGGGCACCTTCAAATTCATTCAGCCCAAGCCCCTCATTTTACAGATGAGGAAACTGAAGCCAAGAGATTAAGTGGGGTATCTCTCTGCCCAAAGTCACAGGAGTAGTAAGTACCAATTTGGAGGTAGAATTTGAATCTAGAGCCTCCAGCTCTAAATTCAGTGCTGCTCTTTCTGAATTCTGAGTAACCTGATGGCTAGGAGGATAAGACCAAAAGATAGGGTTACTGGGTCTGAGGACATAGGGTATGGTAGTCAAAGGATGCTTCTTGTCCAGTGTTAGACGTAGGGACTTAAGCCTAGGTTAAGAGCCATTCTTATGCTGGGTGGGCTCCCTGAGGGAGGAAGTCTCATGCATTGGCTGCTGATTATTGGGAGGTGCCCTGTTGCTAGGCCCAGGGAAGCCACCAGGATCTACATATTCCTTCTAATGTTTCCTTTCAGGTTTTCCGTCGAGCAGATAAGAATGGTGAGCATGGTCCCAGTGGAAAGGGATCCGGGAGGTCAGGAAGACCCACATCTGCTTGTACCTTGGGGGCAGGGAGTCTGTATACAGACTAGGCCTGGAAGGCCAGTCAGGAGGAGATAAATTGGGAAAGAATTGGGAAGCATGTGAAAAAGCCTGACTGACCTACCCCAAAGCCCTGCAGATCCTCCGGTCCTTTCCCCTTCCCAACCTGGAAGAGCCTTAGTTAAATATCTCCTGATAACCTTTGGGATATCTCTTTCTATCTGTCCTTGTCCAAGGTAGCTCCTGCTTCTCATTGATTCCAGCATCCTCCCCTCAATCTCTAGGCCCCTGGTCTTAGCTCAGATCCCTTCCCCTACCCACAAACAATTGACTAGCCTACCTTCCAGAACTCCCAGACCCCCTTTGACCTTGCAGGGCAGGGCTCCCTCTGTCTCCTTATGGGCCAATAGTGGTCAATGGAGAATGACCTGATATTGGTTGGACGGGAGAGCTCCGTGTCCCTGCTTCTTGCCCCCTGCCAGTCTATTGGAAAGAGTGGGGTAGTGGGGACGTTCTGAAAGGCCAGATGACTCCTGTCCCCAAAATCGAACTTTTCTGTGTCTCCCACTTCTCTGTCCTCTGTAGAGGCTGGGGCTGAGGCTTGGATTCTGAGCTAGGATTCTGACTTCTCCTTTCCCCTGTTCGCATAGATGATGGGAAGTTGTCCTTTGAGGAATTCCAGAATTATTTTGCAGATGGGATTCTCAGTTCTGGGGAACTCCGGGAGCTATTCAGCAACATTGACCGGCATTACTCAGAGTAAGTGTTTGTCAGGATGTGGGTTCTGAGAAAATAATGGTTGGTAGGACAGAAAAGTTGTGACCTGGGTATGGTGGAGGGGGAAAGGTGGTGGGTAAATCCTTTTACTTTCTTGGGCCTCAGTTTCCTCATATGTACAGTAAGGCAGTATAAGCTTCCTTCCAGCCCTGACATTCTACAGTTCTATGATGCAAAGGAGAAAACTGAGGACCAGAGAAGGGAATTGCTTTGTTCAAGATCACACAACAAGTTAGTGGTAGAGCTGGACAATGAACCCCTTCTCTTCCTATTAGACTATGCCACTGCCCTGAAATGCCTAACATTAATCTCTATAGCCAGTGCTCTGCGGCAGAATTGTGGAGTATCTGCTGGGTAGGCCCTTCTAACTTCCTTATTGTCCAGAGGAAGTTGTTCTATGCAATTTCTGGGCTTCCCCTGCGGCTCTAGACTCTGGGTTCTAAGGTGGAGGAGGCAGCTGGGGCGAGGGGTGGGGATGGGAATGGAGCCGGGGCCATGGGGTGGGCGCCAGTTGGAGTAGGGCCATGGGTCATTGGGTCACCAGTCCTAATGTTCCTACCTCCCTCCTGCTCTGCTCAGCAGATGCTCCCTGAAAGAGAATGGTGACTCACTCACACCCTTCGTTACCAGCTCAATGCTAATTATGGTTAATGAGCATTTGAGAATAACGAGGGGCAGCTGGCAGGAGCTGATCGTGAGCTGAGAGCTGAGCAGAGCTGAGTGAGGACTCCTGGGGGGTCCCACCCTCGCAGTCCTGGGAGAAAAAGTGTCTCCCCAGGCCAAGGGGCTATAGGGATGAGGGGACACAGACTATTCCAATGTGGCTGAGGCTTGGTGGAAGGGACAAGGTTAGTCCGGTTGGGGATTACCTCAAGGTTTCAAGGCCACATTGAGTTGCTGGTCTAGCCTCCTCCCCCACTCCTCCTCCAGACACACTTTGAGCAGCTCAGCTCCTGCCTGCTGGGATGAATCCAAGCTAGGGTCTCAAAATAGCCTGGAGATGAACCAGGCTTCCTCCTCTACACCCCTCTACTTTCCACCAGCACCAACCAGGCCTGGCCTAAGGTGGAGGAAGGGGCTTACTGCCCAATCCCCATCCCATTGTGGGGGAAGGACAGGGCTATCCATGACACCTAGGCTCCTCAGAGTGATCTTAGACAGATGTGAGTCAGGCTGTCTGGCTTCCCTCTCAAGTTCTCTCCAGGTTTTAGGGGTGGGATCTATACCCCTTATCCCCTGGTCCAGGAGAGCTTCTGGCTGCTGTATCTACCCTAACCACAGAGTAGGTGGGGCCTGGCCTTGGGATGGTCCCTAAGCTCCCTCTCAGAACCAGCTTATTACTCTCATACTAAATAGGTCACATATTAGGGCGGGGTTGAGGAAATGAGGGGTTTTCCCCTTTCCAGGAAAAGGTGATATGACCTCTGGCTTCTAAGGGACTTTGAGGGCTCTGGGCAGGGGCAGGACCTCAGGGGAATCTACTCTAGGTGGGTTCCCAGAGAATTCTTGAGAGGATGTAGGGAACCAGAGGTTTGGGAAAGGGAATGAGTGGTGCTTGATGGGAGTGTCCTTGGAGAATTAGGGGATGAGGAGGAGAGGGCATGGACTAAAAGGGGATGGGCTGGAATGATACCAGGAGCCTGAAATAGAGTTAACACCCAGGAGTTGCATAAAAAACAGTTTCCCAGGATGCTGTGCCACTCTGCACATGCACATATGCATATACATACATGGGAACATATGTGCATAAGATTGGGCACATATGCCCCTGGAAGCTGACTTTTAGTCAGTTCTATCCCCTTCCGGTCTCTGAAGCCCATATCCAGTGGGTGCTAACCTTCCGTTCCTATGAGGTACTAGGCCAGTCCAGGAGGGATGAGGGGTAATGGCTGCAGACTGACACCTCCTTCTGGTCCCTGTTAGGAAAGACACTGGAGGATGGTTCTTGCTGGGGGTTCCGGAGCTGCAAAACCCCTAATCAGCAAGTTCCCCTATGCTATTTTTGTATCAGCCACTGCCTGGATGTCAAACATTGTCTAATAAGCCCTGATTTCTCTTCTCCTTGTAGCAATCTAGAAACCGAGAAGCTTTGCGGTAAGTTGGTGCCAAATCTCTGATGGGTCTGGCTCTGCACTGATGCGTATTTATATATATTTGTATGAATTCATATATGTTCTACGTCTGCTTGGGGTGGTGGTTCATAATATTGCCTGGTCACTCCAGCAGTCTAAAGCCAGTGGCCTTGGAGTCTGGCTCCTGAGAGACATCCCTGATTTGAGGAACTCTGAGTTGAAGGGGATAGGTCCTGTTAGCTGATGGGGATAGAGAGGGGCACAGGGGGCGGGAGGTTGTCACAGCTCTTTGAGATGTGGTGCCGTTTGTTAAGAGATGAAGGGGAGCCATTAGTCCAGTCTTGCCTTTTCCTCTCCCCCCTTCTTTGGGGGAAATCAGGAAGGAGAGTATTAGCTTGGTAGGGTCAGTTGTACAAGGGTGATCCACAATCCAGGCCTCTCTAGTTGAGAGGAGAAAGCCCTTCCCTTTCCCCACCACTGAGTAGAGCTTGGCAGGACATTGTTGGGCCCTGAGTTCCAGGTGTGATCCGGGAGGGAGGTGGCCCCAGACCTCTCTGTCCTGTCCCTTCTAATCCATCTTTCCCCCAGCTCTCTGCATCTTGTCCTTTCAAGGGCTACTTTGATCAGGGAAGTCTGGGACCTTCCCATTTGTCCTTATCCATCCCTGCCTGGGGCGTTCTCATCAGCCTCCCCTCTGGTTTCCTTGTTCCCAGGCCCTGAGGCTGCACCACTGACCAGACAGATGGGGACCTTGGGGAGGTGAGCCAGGTAGATGACCTGGGTAGGGAGGGACCTGGAAGACCTGAGTGTCTTGCCACCTGGGGCCCCAGGTGGGCAGACATACCATAGTGAGTATGCTCAGTCAGGTTTTCCCATATTTCCCTCTACCCCAACCCTAGACTATTTTTCAGAGCACCTGGGTGCATACAGACCTGTGCTGGCTGCCCTGGAGGCTCTGAACAGCGCAGTGCTCGCTGCCATGGATGCCACCAAGCTGGTGAGTGGGAACTTGGGTTTCAAGACCTCCTGAGTGCTCTATGTGTCCGTGGCTGGAGGGCTGGGGAGGTGGGGGAGTTGGGAGGAGGAGCCAGATCTGAGGCATAAGCTCAGTACAAGCACAGAGAGTCATCTGTGCCAACACGTTGTCTGTTCTCATGCACACACCTAGAAGAGCAAATCCACGCAAACGTGCACGGACACTCATGGATTCTGCTCTTTCCTCACCCCTTCCCACTCTCTTTACTGCTAGTAGAAATTGTATGTGGGTGTTACTGGGTGTTGCCCAGGTGTATATGTGTTACCATGTGTTAAGTATGACCATGTGTCACTGTGGTAGAGGTGGGGAACTGTAACTGTAACTGTAACCTGTGAGCAGTTTTCCTGGTTGGGGACAGTAACAAGGACTTAGTCCATGTGGAAGAAGGCTTGCTAAGACAAATACGAGACCAGACAGATAGGCAGGAGGCCCCGACCCTCAGAGTTGGTGGGAAGGACTGTGGAATTAGGCCTATAGTTGGGAGCTGGCTAGGCTAGCAGGACAGACTTTGAGGGGACAGAATGGTGGGGTCCAGGCCTGTGAATAAATGGGGATGTGTAGCTGGGGAGGTCTGGGTGCCACTCATGACCAACAGTGCTGGGTTCTGATTTTGCCTTATTTGACTGTTGGCAGAATTGCATTGTGGAAAGGATAATAGATCTTGACTCAGAATCCTGACTCTACCCTTACTACCTAGGGGGACCTAGGGCAAGTTGGTCTAGGCTTCAGTTTCCTCATATTTAAAATGAAGGGTTTGTTTAGATGACTGTTAAGGTCTCTTCCAGCTCTAAACCTATGACCCTAAGATCTTCCTTCCATTATCTTGAAGAAAATCCTCTTGAAAACCCCATACTGTGTGTGTGTGTGCCTGGGGTAGCTAAAGGAGGTAAGAGGAGAGAAGGGAAGAGGGAAGAGGAGGCTGGTCTGGGTAAGTGACCTGAACAGGATGAGGCTATTCAGGGATTCTCTAAACACAGAGAAGAGGAAGAAGGAAGCCTGGGGGGCTGGATCTGGCCAGACTCACTTCTCCCTGTCTTGCCTGGGCCCATTTTCTTTGTGTCTCACTTTAAGACAACCCAGTTGAAAAAAAAACCCAACCAGGGGTGATTCTTCCCCTTACCAGTGTTTCCCCAGGTTTCATTACATGATTCAGTTTGACTGATTTTGCTTCCACTCCTTGTGAACCCAGCTCATGCTCAGGCACGTGTATTTACCCGTATCTATCTAACTCTATCTCACATATAGATACCCCCAGATACGTCCATTCTCAAGTGCTTCCACTCCCACAGATATATGCATTCATAGCTGAACTACCGGCAGTCATGCATCCTCACAACCACACAGATCTTGTTCTCCCAGAGAGCCTGCTTAGAAGGGAATAACCTGGTCAGACTCTGCCCCAGATGGCCACAAGGTAAGCCCTGGGCCACCTTCTCTGGCTCTGTGATCACCATCTGGAGTCAAGGAGTTACCCTGTCCAGGATCAGAGGTTGCACCCCTAGACAGCTATCTGCCCTCCAGGGAAGAGAAGTGACTCCATTTCCAGGGTCCTCTGTGGGCCTCCTAACTATCTTTAGGAGCATTCCAAGCATCAGGTTCAGATATGATCCCTTTGACACCCCCTTTTATTTAATCAAATACCGCGTGCACGCAGCCTGCCCCTTGCTCTTCATACATGGCACGTGTTACCCATAGTCGATGGAAGGAGTGGAGTGAACCTGCCAGAGAGCCTCCTACCCAGGTGGCCAGGCCCCGCTCGGGTTTGGCCACCAGCTGTGGATTCAACACTGTCCCTGAGCTCACTGCTGGCCACTGTTGCTGCTTCTGGCACAGGGCCTTCAGCTCCAGGCTCAGCCTCTGAGGAAAGCCAGGAAAGAGCGTGGAGCCCCCTGCCACTAACACATTGGCTGCCAACTTGGGCCGGATGGTTTCTGGCACTGCCTGCAGGGCCTGGAAAGCCAGGCTGGACAGGCCTGGAGAGTTGTGGCCTAGCAGACTTGTCTGGAACAAGGGTTCGGGGCAGTGGAAGCACTTATCAGTCAGGGTCACTGGGCAGCCATCAGCCTTGCAGAAGCATGCCGAGGGAAGTTGGGGTGTAGGGGTACGCAGGGCTGCCTCATAATCTAGGGAGACGTAGCAGCATTGCTTCTTCAGCATGGTGACGGTTCGCCGGGGAAGGGCTTGCAGCCTCGGGTCAGGACAGGCCTTCAGGAGCAGTCTATGAAAATATTTAGAGAGGGCCGCCCCGGCCAGATCAAGTCGGAACGTGGCCTTGTGCCACGTGTGGCCAGCATAGATGGGCGTGGCATGGCACACCTCTGCCCCAGCTTCTACTGCCAACCCGCTGAGGCTCCCCCCAGAGCACAGAGCCAGTAGACCTGTGCTGGCCATGTGAAAAGCTGGCACTGAGAAAGTCTCAAACATCAGCTCAGTCACCTTCTCTCGATTCTTGGGTGGGCTGGTGGGTGAGTCGCTCATGAGGATGGGCCAGTTTTTAGGGCTGGTCTTTAGGCCACAAGCAAAGAGGTGGTGCCACAAGCTCTCCATGGATTCCCAGTCCACTATGACCCCATGTTTCAAGGGGCGACTTCGGCCTGGCGCTGTGCCCCAGGCATCCAGGCTACAAGGCATGCCCCGCATGGCAGTGGCACAGTTGGGCAAACAGCTGGCAGTCTTCAGGATAAATCGGGTCTTTTTCTCCCCAGCAAAACCTACCTTGGTGAAGCCACTGCCATTGTCAATGACCACGGCTATCCTGCCCATGGCCACACGCTAGAGGCCTGCCCTGTGCTGGAGACACTGTCCCCTCTGGTGAAAGGTCTGCTCCCTCTGCTGCTCAGAATGGCTGCCCTCTGGGATTCCACCCCTTCTACAAGAGGCTCTGGCCCTTTGGCACTTGTTTCCTGTAGAATTATAATTAAGCACCCACTACCATGTGCAGGGGGTGGCTAGATGGCACAACGGATAGAGTGCCAGACCTGGAGTTCAAATTTGACCTCAGACACTTACTAGCCATGTGACCCTGGGCAAGTCACTTAATCTTGCTTGCCTCCATTTCCTCATTTACAAAATGAGTTGGAGAAGGAAATAGCAAACCGCTCTGGTATCTTTTGCCAAGAAAACCCCAAATGGGGTCATGAAGAGTCAGACACAATTGAAAAAATCACTAAATAGCAACAACTACGTGCAGAGTATTATGCTAGGAGCTAGGGAGATACAAAGTTTATTTAAGACTGGGTCCCTGCCCTCAGGAGGGTTACAGTCTAGAATGAGGATAACATGCCTCCGAAGGTAGCTCTGTCATGTACAGTATTATGTGATAAGTGCTTGAGAGAGGAGGGGAAGGATGAGGGAAGGCTGTATATAAGAGTTGTTATGTGAGTGGGACTTTAAAGTATGGCCAGGGATTTAACAAATAAAGGAAAGAGAAGTAGTTCCAGTCCTGGGGCCTAGGGCAGGGCAAGGGAAGGGAAATTGAGAGAAGGGCTAGGGGAGTTGGCCACTTTGGCTGGAATGTAGAGAGTGTAGAGGGGAGTAATGAGGGTTAAGGCTGGAAAGGTAAGGTGGTGGACTCTGAATGCCAACACAGAAGAGTCTGATCTAAAGATTTTTGAGAAAAAGAGTAACATGACCAGATCTATGTCATGGATAATGGCCTAGGAGGAGGAGAGAGCAAAATGGAAGGAAGCCCTGCAAAGAAGCTATTATAATAGTCTGGGTGAGCACTAATGAAAACCCATGGAGGATGGTAGCAATTGCACTACATAGGGGAGAACATACATAAGAGATACCACAGAGATGGAGTCCACCAGCCTTGGTGGACTGACTGGACATAGGTGGTTAAAGAGATGGAAGGACCAAAGGTCACACCTCAAGTTTTTCAGACATGGGGGAGTGGGTAGATGGTGGTGCTACAAACAGGAATAGTGATGTTAGATTGGATAGAAGGGGATGGTTTGGGAAATGTTGAGTCTGAGAGGTTGGTGGAACATCCAGGTAAGGGTTATTCTGAAGGAGGCAGCTAGATGGCTCAGTGGACCTGGAGTCAGGAAGACCTGAGTTCAAATCCAGCCTCAGACACTTACTGGCTGTATGACTCTGGGCAAATCACTTAACCCTGTTTGCCTCAATTTCCTCATCTGTAAAATGATCTGGAGAAGAAAATGGCAAATCACTCTAGTATCTTTGCCAAGAAAACCCCATGGCCAGCATTGACATATTGTCCATGGGGTCTCAAAGAGTTGAACATGATTGAATGACAACCTGGAGTTGCAGACCTAGAGTTTAGGAAAAAAAGGATGAGGCTGAAAATATAAATTAGGGAGGCATCTTGCATGGAATGAAAGCTCCTCAAGGGCATGGAGTGTTTTCCTTTTGTCTTTGTGTCTCTAACTCCTAGCAGGGTGCCTAGTACTAAGAAGCACTGGGAAAATGCTTGTTCTTTTGTGGAGGGCATGAGATTGCTAATGGAGGGGGTAGAGGAGAGGCCTGAGGATGGTGTAGAGGTAGGAGCACCGGGTCTGGAGTCAGCGCGTTCTAGACTTGACTTCCGTGCTATGTTGCAGGAGCCTCTGTGATCCTGGGTAAGTCACCCCACTCTAGCCCTCTGCCTCTCCATCTCTAAAGGGCTGAGGTTGGACCTGAAGATCACTGAAATCTCTTGTGGCTCTAAATCCTATGAAAACTGTGGATCCATTCTTGGGAAACATGAGAGGTTGACTCCATAATAAAGGGATATTTAGGAGAATAAACCATCCAGGAAGACTGAGGAGGAAATGGAGTTAGACACGGAGGAGAACCGAGTGATTGTGTTGTTAGCTGGAGCCTAGGGAGAAAAGCATAGCTGATGGGTGAGGAGCTGATGATGTCAAAAGCTGCAGAGAGGTTAGGGATGGTGGAGACTGGGAAAGTGAGACTACAGTGTTGTATGGAGAAGAGAGGACTAGCTCAGGACCCAGAAGTCCTGGTTTCTTAATCCCACATCTGATATTACCTGTATGACTTTGGGCAAGTCACTTACCCTCAGTGGGCCTCAGTTTCCTCATCTATAAACTGAAGGGGTTGGGCTCCGTCCTTGCTAGATCTTAATCCACAACCCTACTAATTGGTGCTTAAGGAAAGTCTCTGGTGACCTAGAAGAGAACAATTCCAGTTGAGTGATTGGGGGCTGAAGTCAGATTGCAGAAAATGGGCCAGAGGGCCAGGCAAAGATTGGATAAGGACAAAGATCGAGGGGCCAGAAGCAGCAGAGCCCAGAGGACAATGTGGAGAAAACAGTAACTTCTCCCTGCATGGGAGGCAATTACTAGGGGCTGGTCGCATCAGTCACTCCCTTCTGTGGACCAATCAAGGAACTGAGGCCCCCCCCCCCCCCCCCCCGAGCTATTGTGTACCTTGCTTTTTGGTCCCTAGGGCCGGAGGAGCTCCTGGCCCTCACTCCCACTGCCTTTCTCTGCCTTACGCTATTAGCGTTCAGTTGTTTTTAGTTGTATCCGACTCTCCATAAGCCCATTTGGGGTTTTCTTGGCAAAGATACTGGAGTGGTTTGCCATTTCCTTCTCCAGCTCATTTTAGAGATGAGGAAACTGAGGCCAACAGGGTTAAGTGACTGGCCCAGGGTCACACAGCTAGTAAATGTCTGAGGCCAGATTGGAACTTGAAGACGAGTCTTTCTGACTCCAGGCCTGGAATTCTATCCACTGTGCCACCTAGCCGCCCTTATGTGGTAGCTATGCCCATACTTATATTGCCAGGGTTGAACCTGGCCAAGGCTCAAGATCCTCACAGCCTTCCCTTGCTTTTCGCCTTTGTTCTTACCTTCTCTCCTCCTCATCAAGGTACCTCAGCCAGAGAATAGGCTGAGGGAAAGAGGGAGGGAATGGCAGCAGCTGGAGGGATTGTGACCTCAAGGGTTGGGCCAGGCCCATCAGAATCCAGCCCTCTCCACCATCTCTACAGACTGCTATCCCCCAATCCCACATTCCCATTCTGCTCTGGCCCACTCTCCCTGCCTGCACAGAGAGAGGCTATGTAGCTTGCTCAGGTGCACCCTGGAAAGGTAGACCCTCTGATGGCGGCCTCATTGGTGGGAGCCAGGTGAATCCCAGTGGTGGAGACAGGAGGTAAATGTGAAATGATGCCTGAAGATCAAGGCAGGCTGGGCCCTGCCCAGTGACCGGAACACGTAAGATTTGTGGGTTCATTTCAAGCGAGATCTTTGGGCTGCAGTGGTCAGTCAGAGCTTAATTGAGAAGTAAGATTTAAGAGGCGCCTTAAAGGATGAATAGGATTTATGCAAATCGGGCCAGAGAAGGCCTTTCAGGCCGAGGAGTGGTGGGAGTAAGAGTGGGGGAATGAGGAAGCAGAAGCCTTGTTTGGGGAGACAGTGAGGAGCCCAGTCTAGCTAAAGCACAAGGCAAGCAGCAGGAGATAAAAACAATAGCAGAGCACCTCAAACCTCAGATGATGAGTTTGAATTTTTTCATAGAGGCAACAGGAAACCTCCGAAGGCTTTTGAGTAGGGGAGTGAAATGGTCAGACATGGGCATTAGGAAGGTTATTTTGGCAGCATGTAAAGGATGAACTGGAGAGACTAAACTGGGGCAAGGGGACTGGTGGGGAGGCTGTTTCAACAGTACACACAAGAAATGAGAGGGCCTGAACTGGGTGGTGAGAATGAAAAAGGGGAGAAGTGATACATAAGATATTGTCAATGTAGAATTGATAGGAACTAGTGAGTGACCGGATATATTGTTTGTTGTTGTGTTGATTCAGTCATGTCTGACTCTCTGTGACCCCATTTGGGGTTTTGTTAGCAGAGATACTGGAGTGGTTTGCCATTTCCTTCTCCAACTCATTTTACAGATGAGGAAACTGAGGCAAACAGAGGGAAGTGATTTGCCCAGGGTCGCCCAGCTAGCAAAATGTCTAAGGTTTGATTTGAACTCAGGAGGATGAGTCTTCCTCACTTCAGAACCCCTGTGTGCACTATGGCGCCACCTAGCTGGATAGGGAAGAGCTAAAGATGACTGTAAGGTTTCCAGACTGGCTAAATGCTGGTGTCATTGACAGAAATAGTCAGAGAGTTGTTTTTTTTTTTTTCTTCCTTCTTCTTTGGGGAACAATAAGAATTTTGGTCTTGTACAAATTTAGTATGAGATGTATATGACATTTAGGTGGAGATGCCCTGCAGGGAGATGGAGAGGTGGACTTGGTGCTTGGGAGAGCAACTGGGGCTGCAGAGATAGATTTGGGAATTCTCTTTGTGGAAGCAGAGGTCCAGCCACCGCAGTGGCTGAGAGCCCTGAGGAAGGAGAGTGTAGAGAGAGGAGAAATGAGGCCAGAGGATGTAGTGGATGCCGTGTTGAACCAGGTTGGGTTGGTTCAGCCTGGAAAGATTTCTACTTCGTCCATCCCTATGCCCCCAAGAGACCTTAGCCTAGTTTGTTGTTCAGTTGTGTCCAACTCTTTGTGACCCCATTTAGGGTTTTCTTGGCAGAGATATTGAAGTGGTTTGCCACTTCCTTTTCCAGCTCATTTGACAGATGAGGAAACGGAAGCCAACAGAGTTAAGTGACTTGCCTGGGGTCACATAGCTAGTAAGTGTGTGAAGCTGAATTTGAACTCATGATGAATCTTCCTGACTTCAGGCCCGGCACTTTAACTACAATGCTACCTAGTGGCCACAATTTCTCAGCAATTCTGATGAACAGTTAAGCATGAGCCTTGGAGGTTTGGATTCTCATCCTAGTTTTGCTACTAACTCCCAGGCAATGGGATATTCTTCTCTTTTTTCTGGGCCTCAAGTTTTCTCATTTGTGAAATGAAAGGGTTGGCCTCTAAGGTACTTGTACAAGAGAGGAAACAGTGGAAAAGAGAGCTGGATTTGGGATCAGGAGACCTGGTTCAAATCTTGGCTCAGTTTCTTATCACCTGTGTGATCTTGGGCAAGTCAGGATCTTTCTGGCTCTGTTTCCTTATCTGTAAAATGAAGGGGCTGGGATGGATGACATCTAAGCTATCTGTGATCCTAAGATTTCCAGGATCTGTGTCTTGCCCCCCTCTCTCGACCTAACTCTGGTAGGGAGGTACAGAGGGAATGAGGGGCGGTCACCCCTTCTCCCAGCCCTCCCCATTTCCATGCTTTTATTGCCACAGGCCCACACTGGGGGGAGGCAGGGGGCTGCCCCTGAGTGCCCTAGAGCCATCCTGGCGACACACCAGTCTTGGCCAGCCACCTGAATGCTCCACGGTCTTTATTGTCCTTCCTGCCCTGCTCAGGCTCAGCACTGGGAGTGGCTCAGGTGCCAGCACCTCTGTGGATGCAGCTGGTCCTCCACCTCACCCTCAGCCTCATTCTCAGCCAGCAGATGGTGCTGCCAGGCCTGGGCCCACTTGGTACTACCATCCGCTCCCCACCATCCTGGAGGTGGGTATCCAGTAGCAGCAGGAATACCAAAATCTTCTTCATCTCCCGAGCCCAAGAGCCCTCCCGGCGATCCATCCCATCACCTGCACCTCTCAGTGAGGAGGCTGCTGGTGTTGCCCCAGCCTCATCCTCGGGCCTCCTAGCCCCGAATCCAGGGGCCATATTGGTCTCTGCCAGTTGGTTCATCTTGTCCAAGGGCAGGAGCAGCACAATCTTGGGCTGTGGAGAAGGAAGAGTAAAGCTGGTGAAATTTCCATGCCTCTAGCAGAGGCTGGGTCCCCTTCCTATTTTGCAGAGGAAATAAACTGAAGGTTGGAACCCAAAAGGACCTAGGGCTTCATGTGACTGGTTTCTGGTGCGTTCCTAACACTTCTCTCCTCTTTATTCCTGAGCAGAGAGGAATTCACCAGCCCTGGCATGGGAGGCGAAGGGATCAGTCCATGGGGGCGGACTGTGGGCCCACTGTGCCCTTCCCTGGGTATGAGCTAGGGGCTCAGAGCACAAAATTTCCATCTTCAGACCAGGCTTGGAAAGGAGCTAGGAACCAAGAGCTAGGGGTGTCCTCTAGTCTCCCCCAGTGGGTGAGTGGGCTGGGTCTCTCCCAGACACTCACACTTGACTTTCTCTTCAAGTGGCCAAAGAAGGACTTCTTGTCCTTTTCCATGTCTAGGGGTTTCTCCTTCCATCTCTGCTTGGGAGCCTTGGTTTTCTTTCGGGAGTTGTAGTTCCCCATTGTGGGTAAGCAGCTGTGGCTTTGGCTTCCTACATGCTCACATTATGGTCCAGGACCCATCCTGAGCCTTACCTTGCCCTCTGGAGCTATCCTCTGTATTCCTCCTCCAACAATCTAGGCAGGGGATATTGTGACCTCACTAGGCATGACCTCATCAGGACCATCTAGAGTTCTCTTCTCTCTTGTCTTTTCATCATGAAGATCTTTACTTTGGATGAAGATTTAGAAAGGCTCGGGCTCTTTTCCCATCTATACCACTGACCTCATTATATAATCTTTGGCAAATCCCTTTTTATTCCTCCGAATCTCCATTTCTCCTTCTGTGAAATAATAGTGTTATATTAGATGATCTCTAAGCTTCCTTCTGGGTCTTAGTCTATTTTTGAAAATGTATTTTCTTTTTTTCCAATTACATGTAAACAATTTTTAACATTCTTTTTAAAAATTTTGATGTGCAAATTCTTTCTATCCCTCTCTTTTCTCTCATTGAGAAGGCAAGCAGTTTGCATTAGGTTATACATATGCAGTTATACAAAACACATTTCCATATTAGTCATATTGTAAAAGAAAACACAGAATAAAACCCCCAAGAAAAATAAAGTTAGTGGAAAAAATATGGTTCAATCTACATTCAAATTTCATCAGTTCTCTCTCTCTGGATGTGGATAGCATTTTGTATCATGAGTCCTTTGGAATCATCTTGGATCATTGTATTGCTGAGAACAGCTAGTCTTTCACAGTTGATCATCATAACAATATTGCTGTTACTGTGTACAATGTTTTCCTGGTTCTGCTCATTTCACTTTGCATCACTTCATGTATGTCTTTCCAGGTTTTTCTGAAAGCATCCTGCTTGTCATTTCTTATAGCACAATAGCATTCCATCACAATCATAAACCACAAATTGTTCAGCCACCCTTAATTGATGGGCATTTCCTTAATTTCCAATTCTTTGCCACCACAAAAACGAGCTGATATAAATATTTTTGTACATGTGGGTGCTTTTCCTTTTTTTTTAAAAAAATCTCTTTAGGATCTAGACATAGTAGTGGTATTGCTGGATCAAAAGGTATGCATGGTTTTATAGTCCTTTGGGCATGGTTCCAAATTGCTCTCCAGAATGTTTGGATCAGTTTACAACTCCACCAACAGTGCATTAGTGTCCCAATTTTCCCACATCCCCTCCAACATTTATCATTTTCCTTTTCTGTCATATTAACCAATCTGATAGATATGAGGTGGCACCTTAGAGTTATTTTAATTTTTATTTCTCTGATCAATAGTGATTTAGAGCATTTTTTCATATGACTATAAATAGCTTTGATTTCTTCTTCTGAAAACTTCCTACTTATATTCTTTGACCATTTATTAATTGAGGAATGACTTGTATTCTTATAAATTTGACTCAGTTCTCTGTATATTTGAGAAATGAGGCCTTTATCAAAGAAACTTGCTGTAATCCTCCCCCCCATTTTCTACTTTCCTTCTAATTGTAGCTGCATCGATTTTGTTTATGCAAAACCTTTTCAATTAAATGTAATCAAAATTATTCATTTTACTTCCCTTAATGTTCTCTATATCTTGTTTGGTCTTAAATTATTCCCTTATCCATAGATCTGACAGGTACATTTTTCTATGCTCTACTAGTTTGCTTATGTTATCACCCTTTATATCTAAATAACTTATCCATTTTAGCTTTATTTTGGTATACAATGTGAGATGTTGGTCTATACCTAATTTCTGCCAGTTTTCTCAGCAATTTTGTCAAATGTTGAGCTCTTACCCCCAAACTTTGGATCTTTGGGTTTATCAAACACTAGATCACTATGGTCATTTACTACTGTGTGTTGTGTACTTAATCTATTCCATTGATGCACCACTCTATTTCTCAGTCAATATGAGATTGGGTTTTTTTATTTTTTATGTTCACATTAGTCATATTGTAAAGAAGAATTAGAACCAATAGGAGGAACCACAAGAAAGAAGAAACAAAACAAAACAGAAGGAAAAAAAGGAGCAAATAGTATGCTTCAATCTGCATTCAAACTCCATAGTTCTTTCTTTGGATGTGGATAGTATTTTCCATCATGAGACTTTTGGAGATATCTTAGTTTCTTGCATTGCTAAGAAGAGCCAAGGCTATCAACGTTAGTCATAGCACAACGTGGTTGTTACTGTGTACAATGTTCTCCTGGTTCTGCTCGCTTCACTCAGCATCAGTCCATACAAGTCTTTCCAGGATTTTCTGAAGTCTGCCTGCTCATCATTTCTTATAGCACAATAGGATTCCATTACATTCACATACCACAACTTGTTCAGCCATTCCCCAACTGATGGGCATCCCTTCAATTTCCAATTCTTGTCCACCACAAGAAGAGCTGCTGTAAATATTTTTATACATGTGGGTCCTTCTCCCATTTTTATGATCTTTTTGGGATACAGACCTAGTAGTGGTATAGCTGGGTCAAAGGGTATGTGCAGTTTTATAGCCCTTTGGGCATAGTTCCAAATTGCTCTCCAAAATGGTTGGATCAGTTCATAACTCCACCAACAATGCATTAATGTTCCTATTTTCCCACATCTTCTCCAACATCTATCATTTGCCTGTTTTATCATGTTAGCCAATCTGAGAGGTGAGAAACAAAAGAGATTGTTTTGATGATTGCTACTTTGTGATGCAGTTTGAGATCTGGTACTTTTAGGCCACCTTCCTTCATATTTTTTCATTGATTCCCTTAATATTCTTGACTTTTTGTTCTTCCAGATGAATTTTGTTATTTTTTCTGACTCCATAAAATATTTTTGGTAGTTCAATTGGTATGGCATTGAATACGTAAATAAATTTAGGAAGAATTGTCATTTTTTGTCATATTGGCTCAGCCTACCCATGAGTAGTGAATAATTTTCCAGTGGTTTAGATCCAACTTTATTTTGTGAAATGTGTTTTATAATTGTGTTCAGATAGTTCCTGGATTTGTCTTGGAGTATTTTATATTGTCTGCAGTTATTTTAAATTTAATTTCTCTTTCTATATTTTGTAGTTGGACTTTGTTGGCAATATATAGAAATGCTGATAATTTATGTGGGTTTATTTTATATCCTGAAACTTTGCTAAAGTTGTTAATTATTTCAGCTAGTTAAAATATATTTTCTTGATGCCTTTTCTCTTTGCTACATCACAGTCCTTTCAGTCTCTCCCTCCAGGTTCAAGTCAAGTCAACCAGCCATCCTAACCAGCCAATGTCAGGCACTGGGCTAAGCTCTTAGATTACAAATATAAGCAGAAAGAAAGATAGTCCCTGTCCTCAAGGAACTTGAATTGTCATGAGGAAAAGTAACACAGAAAAGGAAGCTGAAAAACCAAGGTGGGGAGAAGAGAAAGGTAAGAGAAAGGGGGATTGGTAGAGAAAATCCAGAGAATCAGGATTTGAGGCTGGGGAGGAAGGAAGATCTCACTGGCCTGGATATTCTCCTTAAAATGGAGGTTCTGGGAAGACCTAGCCAAATGGAAGAAGGGCCTAAAGGGATGGAGTGTTATTCCAGGGTGAGGAAGTCTCTGTGGCATGGTAGAGAAAGTCCAGAGAGTTAAAAGTGGAATGTGGAAAGGAATGAAAGCTGAACTTTCCCTTGTGATAAAGAAAAACAATTATGCTAAAACAACAATTCAGGAACCAAGTCTGACAATATATGTAGTATTCCATCCTAAAAGTCCCTCACTTCTCTGTTATGAAGAAATATGCTTTTATTTATTTTTTTAATTCATTAATTTATTTTTAGTTTTCAACATTCACTTCCATAAGATTTTGAGTTTCAAAATTTCTCCCCCTCCCTCCTCCCCAAGACAGCCTGCAAATCTGATATAGGCTCTACATATGCACTCATATTAAACATATTTTCACATTGGTCATGTTGTAAAGAAGAATTAAAATGAATGGAAGGAACCATAAGAAAGAAGAAACAAAATAAAACAAATAAAAAAAGAGAGCTTCGGTCTGCATTCAGACACCATAGTTCTTTCTCTGGATGTGGACAGCATTTTCCATCATGAGTCTTTTGGAGTTGTCTTAAATCCTTGCATTACTGAGAAGGGCTAAGTCTATCAAAATTAGTCATCTCACAATGTGGCTGTTACTGTGTACAATGTTCTCCCGGTTCTGCTCACTTCACTCAGCATCAGTTCACATAAGTCTTTCCAGGTTTTTCTGAAGTCTGCCTGCTCATCATTTCTTTTTTCTTTCTTTCTTTCTTTTTTTTTTTAAGGCAATTGGGGTTAAGTGACTTGCCCAGGGTCACACAGCTAGGAAGTGTCAAGTGTTTGGTCTGAGTACAGATTTAAACTCAGGTCCTCTTGACTTCAGGGCCGGTGCTCTATCCACTGCACCACTTAGCTGCTCCTGCTCATCATTTCTTATAGCACAATAGTATTTTTTTACATTCACATATCACAACTTGTTCAGCCATTCCCCAATTGATGGGCATCAATTTTCAATTCTTGGCCACCACAAAAAGAGCTCCTATAAATATTTTTGTACGTATGGGTCCTTTTCCCATTTTTATGATCTTTTTGGGATACAGACCTAGTAGTGGTATTGGTGGGTCAAAGGGTATGTATGTACAGTTTTATAGCCCTTTGGGCATAGTTCCAAATTGCTATCCAGAATGGTTGGATCAGTTCAAAACTCCACCAACAATGCATTAGTGTGACTGGAATGTAGAGGGCATGAAGAGGGATAATGTGAAATAATAATAGAAATGTAGGATGGAGCCAGATTTTATTTTATTTTTTTAAAAGAGGTACAGATTTTTATTTTTTTATTAATTCATTTTGAATTATCAATAATCACTTCTATAAGCTTTTGAGTTTTAAATTTTTCTCCCTCTCCCTCCCCACCTCCCTCCCCTAGATGGTACGCAATCTGATATAGGCTATACATATATATTCCTATTAAACATATTTTCACATTAGTGATGTTGCAAGTAAGAATTAGAACCAATAGGAA